TGATTTTTCAACCATCGATTTCGATGAAGTTCCCCATGTGCTCAGGAGCACGGAGGATGACAGTAGCAGGGGGGAGGGGATTTAAGTGCGTTGACGCGCAGCCGTCTTCCACACTCTGAACCCTCGAGCGGACTAATGCAATACAAACCGCAGACAGGCGTTATTTGTAAAAACAATGCTACTTACAGTTTGTGAATACTATTTTAATAGCGAATACTTGCAAGCATGCGTGTACAAATGTATATGATTAATGGGCACGCGCCCTCCACTCAGCACGCAGATGTATATGATCTATCGGCACGAAAACAATAGGGATTTCAAAGAGCTTGCCTTTTACCCTCACCGATCAATTTGAAACAGCCCACAAGACTGCCGCTATAATTTTGTACTGATGCAATTCAGGTTTTAGGAAACGTTTGCGCGTTTTGTCACGATCAAATCTTTACTTTCATTGCTTACAGTCAATATAAGGGAGCCACTTTTCGTGAAAAGGTCACTATTCGATCAAGCAGTGGATCAGTAGAGTTTCACGGAGAGAGAGCGCACAAACCTCACCCTAAAACGCTGAACTCGAGCACTCTTGGGATTAAGTTATCAATCTGTTTCACTTTACAAATTTGCAGCAGATGGTCGGACCCCGTTGAAATAATGGCATCAAATGCCTCAGACATTCCTCTGACACTTTGATCTAGGTTTTTTTACGAATTGTTTTTGCAAGTTTTTTGTCAAGAGTACATCGCTCTCCACTCTCATTTTCTCATTCAAGGCTCTCCTTGCCCCTACGGAATTTCTCCCGCCACCTTCGTACTGTACAATAACTTGGGAACCCTTCTGCACATGTTCTATTGAGATTGGCGGCTATTTGTACTTGTTCCGGCTGTGATCATGCGGTTTTTTGGGCAACATTACGACCGCATTTAAACGCAGGCAAGACAATTAAATGCATTATTACTTCATCTGCGTTATTAAAAGTTTACATGTTTCAATACTTTACTCCGAAATAAATTATAGAAGAAGTATCAAAGAGTAAAAAAAGCAATTAGTAAGCCTGTAAAAGTTTGCATAAAATCGCAAGAAAAAACGCAATTCCTTTCAAATTCTAGAAGCGAGTAGAAAAATCGGCCAGTGTTTTTGGAACAACCTAATACATCCAAGAAGGAATGCGTGGAGATCGAAGGTAAACGCACACGGGGCGTGTCACTTCGAAACGGTACAATGAAACGCAGGTTCTTCAGTTCGACCGGCCGAATTACGTGGACATTTTTTAGGATAAGCTTATCTACACCGCTGTCTTTCTTCAGCCCATTATCGGTTTCCACTGAGTGAATGTCAGATATTTCGAGAGCGTGTTGAGGTATTGTAGATCCCAACGAGAACAAAGGTGACTCTCTGATATTCAGTTCATATATTCGATCATAAACAACTATTTCACAAAATAAATATGTTATACAAACTATTACTATAATCCTACTCTTCTGGCCACTATTCTTACTACTTATACGTGTACTTTGATCATGCATGATCTAGCCGTGGCCAGTATTCGGATGTCAACGAAGTGCTGTCGAAAATTGTCGTGAGTTGTATGAACTGGTTGAAAGCAGTAACTGCATTCGAGCTGGGGCTACCTCGGCAGGATCCCGTATAGTACATTTATATAAATCACACCGTTCCGCCAGTTACGCGGCGCCTCTCCCCCCCCTCAATCCACATTATGAGAGTATGCTGCTCAAAATACCTCCAATTTAATCAAAATTTAACCTTAGTCTAACCCTGATATTAAACCTAACCTCGAACTACTCCTTCATCGTTTTATCATGCTCAGTTAGGGACGTAACTGTAATATAACACCAGGTAAGTAGGCATGTTGGGGTACAAAAACTAAGAATTCACATATGCGATAGTAGCCAAACTTTCTATTTAGACGTCATGGGAGTGCGGCCATGCGATTTCGAAAAATTCTGCGACGTGCCTTTACTTGTTACCCTTTGACTGAGGAAAATGGCAGCTGTATTCAAAAAGCTCCTGTATTTTACAACATTTTTAAAATAAATTTAACTGTCCAGCCAGTTATGTATCGACCCCAGTGCACTTATCCCGACAGTTTAGTGCCTACCCTCTGAAAGCACAGCAGTCTTGAGAGGATGTTGCTGAAAATGCCTGCCATTTATGCAGAAAACTCGTGCTTTTATTTCTTAACGTTGATCTTAAGAAGGGAATTAGTCTTGTAAAGAAGATTGGCTGTCTGTTCGTAGTAATCTCGCTGTTGCTAACCTATTTCAGTTCAACTATTCATACAAATTCCTGGACTGAGCCTACTACGGGATACCTTAATCCGTGCCCCTATCACAATGCTTTACTGCCCCAGGGAATTTCTTTCGTCCCCAACGACGATGTCCACCATATGCTCCAAAGGAAGGGGGACGAATGGGCGGTGACCCGCACATTAATTTGTTTATAGTGACAGTAGACTTGCGCTGCATCTACCACACTTCGAGCAACAGCACCCACCCGAGTCCGGTGTTACGACGGAGGCCGGATCGGGCGCAGTGGTTGACAAAGAAAAATGTGTCCGTCTACGCGCGCCACACACAAACCTGGATAACGAACAAAGGGCTAGTTTTTCA